GAACGGCCGCGTTGAGCTTTTTTGCTCGGGTTATTGTTAAAACTTTTTGGTGTTTTTCGTTGCTGAGGCATGGTCGGACGGATCAGCAGAAAGAGTTTTTCATTATTTTTTTGAAACTGATTTGTTATTATTTAATATATAGTTATAAATTTTTTAAAATAAGTATAAAATCGGTTTAAAATCCGATTTATGTAATTCTACCTAATAATTATGATTATAGTATTAAATGATTTATACCCGATTGTAGTATCTATTGATTTCTATCTATTGATTGTTAATCAAAAAATAGTAACCAATCGGGAAGGTACCTAATTCATCAGCGTTCGACCTATGACATCTGAGACATATTTTACTAAAAGAAATTTATCTGCAATAATTTCTTGATGAAGAAATAAGTTTAAGATATAAGTTTCAAAGAGAAAAACATCTTAAACTAATTTTTAACAAATAAAAATATCCTTAACTTAATTTTTGATGAAAAAACTTTGAATTAATCCAAAGTTTTTGAATTAAATCCATTCTGTTTAGATTGAATTACAATCTGAAAAAAATCTGAACCTATAGTTACCTGATAAAACCTATTTTAGATTTATCAAAACTTCTAAATCTTTAGTTTTAATAGGTTTTTAATAAGTTCATAATATAGTTTTGACTGTTTGATATATCTTGGCAGATTTTACTTTTGATATTCAATAGTCTGTCTAAACCCAGGAATTTTGTCAGATATAAAGATGGTTCCTATAATTATTTTTAAAATTTTTATCTAGTTGCAACTTAAGTTGCAACACTTTGAGTTGCAACTATTTATGAATTTTTATATTAAAATAAATTTACAAGAAATTGCAATTCAAGTTGCAACATACTGAGTTGCAACTTCTTAATTTGATGCTCATCTTTAGTCAGACAACTATATCTGAACTGATCTGAAATTTTTTTGGATTATTTTTTACAAAATGAACTGAACTGAACTGAAAATTTTTCAGATTGGGCTGATTTGTTCAAAGTTTTGGATATGCAGATATGCATGAAAAAATTGTAATTATTTATGAAATAGATTTTACAAAATCTCTTCTTTAATTATAATTAAAAAATTTGTAAGAAAATATTGTCATTATATGGATACTTATAAAAAGTATTTGTGAAAAATTGGCAGAATATATTGTTAAGAAATACATAGAATTTTAGAAGAATTAAATTGTCTAATGATTATTTTTCAATACAAATCGAATCATGTGATAAAATCACGTGAAGATCTGCAAAAAATTTCGGACTCTAGATTGTTATGCACCATTATTTTTTCTAGTAATATTAAAAGATAATTCTTTAGCAATGGTAAGTTCATATCGGGTTTTTTGAATTAGAATAAAAGCTTATTTCAAAGGTAAAATCGTATAGTGAAAAGAGAACCTTGTCAGTATAATTTAGCCGAAATAATTCCTTTGATTAATTTCTTTAAGTCAACAACAGAATTTTTAGAGGACCAATAACAAACAAGTTGGTGATAAGATGGCTTGTTCGTTTGACCATTGACGGCTCGAACTGGGAATGAAAAGTTATAGCATCTTTAGTTACAAGTCTCAAAGGTTTCAATATGAGGGTTGCATCAGCAACATTCATTACCAGTATAAGGTAATACCGATATTTGTGAAAATTTGTCTTTAAAGGACGTAAATCATTTGAATCATTTTCAATTGAGTAGCTAAGAAAATAGATATATAACTGCAATTATAGAATATCATTTGAATCGTTCGAATCAATTTGTCATTTCAAAAAGACTTGTGAAATTAACCATTTCTTTTATTTCATATCTTAAATGAAAATGTCTTTATATTTAAAATATTTTTTTTTTCTCATTCTATTCGTGCTACTCTCTCTTATGAACCTAACGTTGCTAATCTCTCAATAATAAATTCTGATAATGTTCTGTCACTAAAATCACTACAAACTTTTGCTTTATTTTCTTGTTTCCTCTAGTATTTATTTTCAATTTCCTTGCTTTTCTTTTTATAATTTGCGTAATTTCCGTGCTCTTATTCATTTGGTTCCCGTTTGATGGTATAATTTCTTTACGAATAAATATAATGAATACTTATTCCGCGAAAATTATACATTACTTTTTATTTAATTAAGGTAATGGGAATTTTCAAACAGTTCAAGAAAATCAGCCTGATTCAAATAAACTTGTATATGTCCAATTGGACATCATATATTTTTTCAAATCCAACACTGCTTCAAAACCTTATTCTATGAGAAAACGTCTAGTCAAGCGCAAAGTTTTCTTGGTAATAGATAGTTATCTTTAAGTTTTTAAATAATATATTAGCAATAATTGTAGTGATTTGATGTAATCTATTTATAGCTCGCGATGACAAGAACTTCAGATGGCCCTTTTCGATGCAGAGGGTAGGGTGTCTTCGAATTCATCGTTGGAGATGACTACGATCCTGATGTTGAGCTTGGGTTTAATTATCTATTCTACACCACGTACTCCAGCGGTAGAGATGGTGATAGTTCGTACTAATAATGGAGATGACTACAAGGTTTGAATTTGTGCTTGACTTATAGATTTTGGAGAATTATTTTAATCTTTTATGAAATTTAGTACTTTAAAATACATTCTTCAAGTTAATTAAATAAAATTTTCAGAGTTCGTGTCAGGAGACGACCCAATGACACCCAAAATAAAAACAAAATGTATACATGCTTGATCGATACGGATGCACCACGACCAATATTACAATTTCATGTAAAAAGAACACTTGGAAGAAAGGGAAGAAGTTCGAATTTTTTAAATGCTATGGAGCTCTTTTCTTGTATCTGAAATGTTTGAGGTCGACAACTATTATTGGAGCAAATGAGTTCAGGCAAAAATTGGAGCCTGGGAATCAAAACCCGACGATAAGCCAATGATGTTTTGGATCAATACATGAGCCGGGTAAACCATTAAAAATATTGATGAAAATAGGCTCAGAATTTTCGAACAAGTGCCGTTAACGAATATTGAAAAATGATTTACTAATCTACTATTATTAATGTAATTAAAAACCCTCCTTCCAATACGATGGTACAGTACATAATAATTCCTATTTCCTCGAATATCTAAATGTTAATTTTTCATAAGGGAATAAAAACCGAGAATTTCCCGTTATTTAGATAAAAAAGGTTTCCTTAATTAATGCGAATGGTAAGGTTTAACAAATATTAAGTACCTAACATATCACCCATCCCAAATAAATTCAATTTGCCGATACGCCGACTTCTATTCACGAAGAAAAGTTAAAAAGTATCTGTTCTTTTACGAAGTGATTGGTCGATTTTTGGCTCTATAAACAATAATCACTCATTATTTTTGCAATATCGGTATGAATATTTAACTGATAAGTTAAGTTTGAACGTTACAAAAAGCGACAGTATCGCCACAAGATTTTTCACCCCACGTGACTTTGGCCGGGAATACGGCATTAAATCACGTGGGGTAAAAAAAAGTTAAACATGGCAAATCATATTAGATTATTTTTAATATGGTCAGGAAATTATAAAATGGTTTTGTATTTACTAAAAGCGATCTATGCAGAAATGAAAGTTATATTTTGTGGTAAATACACGTTTATGTAAAAAACTTCTCTCATACTTTAAAAATATTATTTTTCCGGATGATATTTTGTGATGAATCAAATTCATGTCGATTTGATTAATAATGAATTTTGAATTGAAAATCTTTTTTCTTTCTTAATATACAATATTTGTTATAATCCACCCCTACAATATTTTTAAAAACTCGCATTATGACGATCAAATTGCTGTGTTCATAATATCGTAAAGTGAAATGAAAAGTTACAAATCGTAACGTCTTCAGAGTTGTGCAGACTAATTTCGAAATATCAAATTTGAAGAATTTAAATATTTCTTTCGTAAAATAATTTATAGATATTCTTATATCGTTGGATTTGTGAAATTTTTTGATTGATCAATTCTTTTCTCTCCAATAAAAGTTTCATACATAATAAATTTGCATTAAAAAGAAAAGAAAAGAAAAGTACAATATTTATTTAGTATATTATCGTTATGCAAGGTATAAATAATTAATCATGTGATATGAATTGAAATGTGATCATGTATTTCAAATTTGAAAATGCAAGCTTGTTACATTATAAATCATTCTTTTTTTTATAATATGAATCATAAACCATTTTAATTTTATTCTAAAACATGTCAATTTACACCTTGAACCCACGAGAAGCTCTACGACCACGAGCCTTCTCGAATTTCCTTCCTTTAGATCTGACGTAAGGTCTATTGAAAAGAAAAGAAATTTGTTTTTTTTTAAAAATAAACTCATCCTGTTAAATTAATTCAATCAAATAGAACTTTAAAAAAAAATGGCTTACTTGGCGTTTTTATGTGGACCCATACCAAAATGTTTAACAGATTCTCTAGCACTTTTTGGACCTCTAAGTAAGACGGTATTAGAACCAGTTGGAGCGCGAAGAGCTAATTGGTCTAGAGTTAAAACTTCACCACCAGCTTTTAAAATTCTTTCTTTAGCGGATTTTGTAATACGAAGTGCTGCAACGGTGATCTTTGGCATTTCTAATACTCTCTTATCATCTGTAACTGTACCAACAACTACAGCTATTTTATCAGGTTGGTCACAAATATTACGAACAATACGAGAAATCGACATTGGAGGTTTGTTAACTCGTGACATAAAAAGCCTTTTCAGAATCACTCTATTAAAACTGGAATCTGTTCTTCTGGCTAGGAATCGATATACCTAATTTTTTTTTAAATTATTAATTAAATCATGGATTTCGAACGAATTTGTTTCAAAAATTAAAAATCGATGAAACCATACATACCTTCACCAACAATCGAAGGTAGACATCTTCACTCTTTGGCGCAGTCCGATTCCTCTTTCTCACGTGATGTTTTTTGATGTCAATACCCTAAACGAATGAATTGGGAAAATTCGTTAAATTATTCAAAACTCTTAAGATTACTCTCAAGAAAAATAGGTATTCTCTATTTGTTTAAATCGATCTAAGTAGAAGAAAATATTTCTAACACGAAATTCAACTGAAAATAATACGAAAATATTCCATCAAATTTTTTTTTTAAAAAAAAAAATGAATTTCTAGTACACATCCATCGAGTCGTTAGATAAATATTTTTTTTTGCATCCAAATAAATTAATGACCACGAGGAAATGCATGGTAAAAAAGAAAAGAAAACAAAACAAAATTCACCATTTCGATTTAACTGATTTTCTGTTGAAAAAAAAAAAGAGGAGGAAATTACATTTGTTTAATATTTTTTTTTCTTATGCCTTTCGAGATCAAAATCATATGATTCGTGCCACAAATTACAAAAATTACGCAATCATTCAACGTGATCCGATCTTAAAATGATCTAATTATACCAAAAAAAAAAGGTTTCATAGCTTTTATTTTTTCTCGGCCATGGATCACTTTAGTCAAGGAAACATTAATAATCCTCTTCAACCAAGAAGCGATGTGTTTAGTGATCCAACTACGCGAACTCTGTAAGCCTCTTATGTCTTTTATTGTTATCTTCATGTAGTGTATAATATATAGTATATAAATTTTTATTTATTAGATATCCAATTGTGGTTGGTTCTTCGGTACTTGCATTGAAGTATAAGGACGGTGTAATGTTAGCCGCAGATACATTAGGTATGTTCAGTTTGTATAATATTTCGATTTTTTTTTCTTTCGAACTTGAGCGAGTATATATATATATATATATATATAAATTTATTTTTTTGTTTAGCGTCATTTGGCTCACTTGCTCGGTTTAGAAATTTCGAACGTCTCTATCGCGTTGGTGACTTTACAGTAATTGGTGCTTCAGGAGACCTTTCTGATTTTCAATATACAACACATCTTTTAGATACTATGATGTAAGTTTAATTAATTCAGTAACTTAAATTTTTTTTCCGAGACGAATTCTCCAAATTAAACTTTTATAGGGTTGAAGAATATTATATAAATGACGGTCATGTCCTTAAAACACCGAATATTTACGAATATTTATGTCGTCTGACGTATGGCAGACGGAACAAATTTGATCCTTTATTGAATTCTTATGTTGTTGGAGGTTATAACAATGGAGAAGGGTAAGAAAATTCTTCAAAATTCTTTATTTGTTGAATAGACATTTAGATTTATAGAATACATATTTTAATAAACTTAAGATTTCTTGGATTTGTTGGACATCTTGGAACAACTTACCTGTCTTCAACGATCGCTACAGGCATTGGAGCTCATATAGCACTACCAGTCTTACGTAAGGCTGTTGAAGGCAGAGAGAATACACTTACTGAAGATGAAGCCATTCGAATTCTCGAAGAATGTGAAAAAATTTTATATTGCAGAGATGGGAGAAGTTTAAAATATGTGAGTAAAAAATTATACGCATTCTCCTGATAAGACCTTATACTGATTTCATTCCAACTTTTAACTAGTATCAACGTGCAAAAATTACCGCTCAAGGCGTAGAGGTTAGTGGACCTCATAAAGTGGAGGCAGAATGGCAATTCGGTTTAACATTTGGAAAGTATGGTGATTTTAGTAATTAAGTTAAAATATTGTTATATCAGGCATAAAATTTTATGGTATTAAATAAAGATGTTAATATTAAATTATCAAACCGAAAATTATTATTTATAATTTACAAAATTTAACAAGATTGAGATTGAGATTTTAACCTATCAATTTCACTTTTAAGAATATCCAATGTAAATTTTTCATAATCAATTAATTCCATTTCTTCTTCGGCCATTCTTTTAACTTGCCACCAACATTGATCCATTTCTCTGAACCCTTTCCAAAATAAAGCTTCCTCGCTTTCTTTTTCATGCATTCCAGCTAAAACTTGTAATGACCTTAACCATTGAGATTCATAATGATCCTTTTCTCTTATTGTTGTGTTTAATTGAATTTTAAGGTCATTTACTTCTTGTTGCAAATTTTTAACAAAATCATCATTTATTACAGAAGAATGTCGATTTTCTAATTCTTTTGTTCTTTGATCGAATTGTCTATCTAATTCTAACCAACGTCTTTCAAAATCCTTTTCGGATCTTAATAAACTTTCATCCCTTGTTTTAAAATAAAGGATATATTGTTGCAATTTAAGATCTATAGATTTTAATTGTTGTACTTTAAATTTACTAAAACTTTGACCGGAAACATTCTTCTTCTTTACAGCAAGTACTTTTTGAGTATATTTCATATGTTCTGCCGCTTTTCTAAATAAGTCCGATTGAAACGTTGAAATATGTTCACTATTATTAGAAGAATCACCGTTTTCATCATCTGCTAATGATTTCGTTGTAACATTATCCTTTTCTTTTTCCTGTTCTTCTTTAGCGGGTTGAAGTTCTTTAGCAAGTTCAGATAATTCCGTGACACTTTGTGATTTTGTCGAATTATCTTCACCATAATCATCAAGCCTTATTGAAACACTTACATGACCCATTTCACGTGAATTTGCAGATACTCCAAAAGATTTAATAGGGGCCAAGGTAGTAAAAGTTTTAACCTCGGCTCTTGTTTCATCATCTATTACAGGTTGAGATAGAAATATTTCTTCTAAATGTAACGTCGCAACTCCTATTTGAGACTGCTTTTGATCTACAGACTGCCATATTTCCATAAGCAAAGGTACGGCTTCAAAATATTTATCAAGTCTCTGTGGTGTCATCATAACTTCAATAGTGTTTGTACTATTTATTAACGAAATATCTTTACTTCCTTCATCATTTGAAAGAATTTGAGTTGCTTTATTATTAGTGATACCTAATGCGGGATAACTATACCTAATGTATATATTTTTAATGTTCCAATTTAATTGAATTGATTCTAAATCGATTAAAACCCGATATTTATGTTCATTATTTTGTTCCCGGATTTGTTGCTGTTGTTCCTTTTCTTTTACATGTTCGATCGGGAAAGATTTTGTTCTCTCCACGGAATCAGGAGTAACATCATCATTATTCTCATTGGAATTATCTCTACTTATTGTAAGGTATACACCAATTCTGGCGGTTTGCACATCTGCTGATACAGGTAATTCTCTTTTGGAATTATACATCGGACATACTCGATCTAAAGAACGTGGTTCACCGGTTTTATAATCAAATAATCCAGTGAGTGGAATTTCCGCAAATCCAATCATTTGATTATCATGATACAAATTTATCACAACGTTCGATTCTTTAATTAAAAATGATTTTAATTCTTCTAATGAGGATTGTATTCTAAATGTAAAGGTTTCAGGATTGATATTTGGATGTGAAAGATCATAAAATTTATTCGAAGTTATCACACTTTCAAATACGGTATATTGAAAATAATATCCGTGATTTAATGTTGAAAGGTCAAGCTCAGGAAATTGTTGTTGCGTAAGAAATGATATTGTATCTTGTAATAATAATTGTAAATTAGCTCCGAAATTAATTGTAATAGAAAAAAGGAAAATTTCCGTTCCATTCATTCCAATTTTATAAATTTCAACCCCTTTGGGAGATTTTCCTCCCCTTTCTTCAATTTCTTCGATTTCATCAATGGAAAATGATTTTCCTAATGGGCTTGGTGTATAACCAATATTACAGATGGGTGAGGTTACAGATGATGATAAATTTGGTAAAATACAAAAGGATATTTTAATTTCAGGCGAAACTTTCCCTTTCACTTTTGTATTATTAAGTGATATCCATTTCTCTTTACCACTTCGATCACTTGCCATCCTTAAATCTAACATCGAATATCCTATCAACTCTTCTCTATTATTACATTCATTACCTTTTGTATTATCTACTGAAAAACATTGTAATTTCAAGTGCGCCCATTTCGTTCTTAATAAACGTAAGGTTTGTTGATCCACTTCCCACGCTAATTCCGTATTCCATATTGGAAAGGATACTTGTTCTACACTATCTGTTGATAAAATTGAATTGGAATCTGGACTAATTGTTGAAAGGATTTCATCCGTGAATCTACATTCTATGTAAAGTTTTCCGTTCGGATTTTGAGGGAAATATCGACCTATTTATTTGATTACACGAAGACAAAAGAAAAATTTAATGATTTCATAAAAGAAAAAATAAAGAATTAATTAAAAGTTTTAAAAATAAATACTAACCTTCTATGACTGTGACAACAACGGTACATAAAGGATTGTTAAGTTTCGACATTTTTAAAAATAAACCGATTGAGTGAATTTTATTTTTCCCTTGTTAAAAAAATTATTCAAATATATTTTGTGATTTGCAAGATCATGCATGTTCATGTGAATTCTGTCGATTTTTTTATCATTGGGATGTGGACTATATAGTACCCGGGTATCATACAAATTTTTAGAATTTCGAAGACTTTGTCAATAAAATCTTTTTTGCTTATTCTTTGTATTCTTTGTTAAGTTTAACAATATGGTTGTTCATCGAGGTAAAAACAAAAAGGCATGAGTGACAACAAAAAAAAGAAGGCAGTGGTATGTTCGTGAAAAACTGCTTATAGTAAATCATGCTGAACATTGTGGAAGTAAACGTTTAGCAGCAAGAAGGTTTGAAGTGGAAACAAAACAAATCCGTTATTGGATAAATCAAAAGTCTCAATTTGAAAGTATAGTATCACATATATAAAAGTTGCATAAAGATAAAAGTGCAACACTTCCAGAACTTGAAAAAAATCTTTTTACATAGGTATCTGATTAGAAAAGCAAAGTTGGTTGCTAAGGAAAAAAAAATGTGTAGATCTTTATCAAATTATTATTATACAATTAAATTTTCTGAAGCATGGTTAAAAGGATTTATAAATAGGTATAATCTTGCTACAAGAAGAAGAACACATGTTGTACAACACCTTTCTGATGATTTTTTAGTAAAAAAACCAAAATTTTTTAAGTATTATTTTATATAGATGAATCCAACATGTAATATGAATGAACACCTGTTACATTTGGTCTACTTTATTTAATTACTTTGGATCATTGTAGCACTTCAACCATTAATATATGAACTACAGGTAATGAAAAAAACAAATTTTACTATTATATTAGGATGTATAGCTGATAGCACAAAATTACCAGCAGTTTGTATTTTCAAGCTTAAAATATATTAAGAGAATCATTTCCTCAAAGAATTCATATTCGCATAAATGAAAAAGAATAATGCAATAAACAAGAAATACATTGATAGGTTGAGAATATATGAACTCAAAAAAATGCACTTGGCAACCTAAGGTCTTTATTAGTTTTAGATTCTTTTCACAAACATTTTGTAGAATCAGTTAAAAATAGATTTATTGAAATGCAAACTAATATTGCAGTAATGGTTAGCGGTCTTATAAGTAAATTATAACCTTTAAATATGATCATTAATAAAAGCTTTAAATCAAAGTTAAGATATTACTATAATTAATAGATAAATTTTGAAATTCGAGAATTAATACCTGCTGGAAGGATTAAACAACCTTCTTATGCTACTATAGCTAAATAGATAAAAAATCATGGATTAGTATAGATATTTCTTTAATTCAAAGATCTTTCAAATGTTGTGAAATTTCTGTTGCTAAAAGTAGAAGTAAGGATAATTTGATATTCAATTATAATAGATTGCTTAATAATATAAAAAAGAAAAGTAGATAGGATAAAGTTCAGGATATTAACAAACAATAATAATGATGATAGTAATAATAGTGACGATAGTGATAATATTGAAAACAATAATAATAATAGTAATAATAATGGTAGTGATGATGAAAAAAGTGATAGTAATAAGTCTGATATAAATAAATATAAAGAACTAGAAGCTTCTGATTATGAAAATAAATATTAAATTATAAATAAATAATAAATTTGATCATTCTTAATAAATTTACTTTAAATAAATAAATGCATAGATATTACTATAGTAATTTGCAACCTTTTTTAATGTATTTGTAGTATAATATTCCTATAATAAAATACCTCTTATAGTATAATATTCCTGAATACTATACAAATTAATTAAAAAACAATAGTCTTCATGCATAGTACCTAGATAGTTTATATCAAAATTATGGGTTATAAACTAGAAGATACTATAATTCACCATTTACAGTATATTGATTTTATATTATTTATATTTATGAATTTATTTTTATAATTTTATTTAATCATATATTTATTAAGATTAAAAAGAAAAAATATTAAATATATAAAAATTTAATTACTTATCCTTTTAATGGTTTTGCAGGCAAATTTGCCTGCAATTTTGAAAATTAATAGTTGATCACCAAAAAAAAAGGATCATTTGACATCTGAGCCAATCATTTATTAATATAAATTAGTTATTTTTGTCAAAATCTATTAATCTATTAATAATATTTGAATATTTAATCATAAATTTTTTTTTATTTTGATAGTGACTCAGGCTTAAATTAATATCTAATAAAATGAGTTATTTAATTATTTCATTTAATAAAATGTTAGTCTTGCTATTAAAACATTATTTTTATTATTATTTTTTTTAATAAATAATATACTGCAAAATCTGAGAATTTAATTTTACCAATCCTTATTTTTTCCATTTACTTTAGAATAATTTTAAATAATTGAATAAAAATATTTGTTTTTTTTAAAAATCAATTTTTTTGTTTCTTTTCTTAACCCAATTATTGTATTTTTTAAAAGTTCTTAATTGGTCTTTGATGGCTTTTAAATAAATATCAAAAAAAAATTTATATGAATTAGGTAAATTAGGTAAAAGTTTAAAGTAAAGATTAATCAAAATCAATTAAAATTGCAAACAAATTTGCTTACAATTTTAATTGATTTTAATTAATTTTTACTTTAATTTTACCTAATTCATTTAAATTTTTTTTTGATATTTATTTAGAATAATATATGAAATTTATTATAAAAATATTAAATTATAAAAAAGCTTTACTTTAAAAATTTTTGTTAGAAAGAAATATTTAGTATTATTAAAAATACTAAAATTTTGATAAATATTTTTAATAAAATTGGTTTAAAATGTATTATTTTTAAAAATAATATTTTAAAATAAAATATATAATATATGCTAAATAAATATTAAAAAAAAATTTAGGTTAATTAATAAAATTTTGAATTAAAAATTAATCAATTTTGTTAAATTACAGACAAATTTGCTTGCAATTTTAATCAAATTTAATTAATTTTTAAATCAAACTTTTACTAATTAACCTAAATTTTTTTTTGATTTTTACTTAGAATAGTATATAAAATTTATTATAAAAATATTAAATATACAAAAAAGCTTTCCTTAAAATATTTTGTTAAAGAGAAATATTTTGTATTATCAAAAATACTAAAAATTTAATATATTACTTAATAAAATTAATTTAAAATGTATTATTTTAAATAATAATATTTTTAAAATAAAATATGATATTTTCTAAATAAATATTAAAAAATAATTTAGGTTAATAAGTAAAATTTTGAATCAAAAATTGTTAAAATTATATAAAATTATAAGCAAATTACTTGTAATTTTAATCAATTTTAATTAATTTTTGATTCAAAATTTTACTAATTAACCTAAATTTTTTTTTATATTTATTTAGAATATATCATATATTTTATTTTAAAATATTATTTTTAAAAATAATACATTTTAAACCAATTTTAT